CACATCGGCTGCAAGTGTGATCTGGCTACCTGTCTGGAGCTCTTGCGGCGGCTCATAACTTGGAAGACTGCTACCCTATAGCGCAATCCTTAGGCTGTGCAAGCTGAAGGCTGGGCCGCTTCCTCCGACGCAACTCAAAAACATTCTAGAGCTAGGTGGCCCATGCATTAACGCAGCGCCCACCGTCGATGCCGAGTCGGTCTTCCAATTTTTATGTCGCAGTGACCTTCTGAAGCCCACTGAGTGGGCCCGGCTGGGCCCCATCTGTTGGATTCGGGAGATGGTGGACAGAGGTGCCGTGCGCAGCGTGCCGCGGTGTGACGCACGTGACGTGGCTGTCGATGGACACGCCGCAGGCTGTATCGACCGTGAGTTGTTCCTACAAGTTAAGGGAGTCACTCAGTCTCTCCAACGGGGGGTGAAATTGCACATGCCGCGCAGAGGAAACCACGCGACATCTTCTGAACCTGGCCCACGTCGGGCCATCGGGCGATGCGGGGGCGCATGCTTGCTGTGCCCGGTCGCGGGGCGTGCGTTCGCTGTTGCCCGGCCGCGGACTGCCCTGCCTCTGCGTTTCAGGGTTTTGCGCCCGAAGGTCTCTTCGGACACCCGCCTATAATTTGATGTCGTTGCACCCGCTGCTCAGTCGGAGCGGCGGGCGCGGCCCCTCTGCGCACGCCGCTGCGCCGGCCCACGGGCGCGGCAGTGAGCGCCTTCTTGCCGGCGCAAAAAGATTGCCCGCTGTTGCAGTGGATTTAAGATATTAGATAGCTTGGCGCGGCCCGTCGCCCGATTTACCCCTCCTGATTGCGAGCGGAGGTCACCGGCGAGATGCGAGCGACGCACCTGCGTCCGACGTTGCTTCGCTGCTTGGGCCCAAGCGGCGCCGTTATGCGCCTGCCCCGTACTTGGCGCGGCATTGCATCCGAGGAGCGGAAAATGTACGTTCATTTCCTTGAACGACGTGCCCTTCGCTTTCATTTCTTATGTCTCATCTGCCCGCGCATCGCACGCCTAAGGCGTGACACATGTTGCGGCTTACCATGCCCTTTTCGACTTCTTGAAGTAATCGTTCGGCGATTCGGAGCCCTCTTGGGCCTTTTTGGGGGCCTCTTGGGGCCGCCCTGGCCCGTCCTGCGGCCCCCTTGGGGGCGAACAAGTCATGCGACAAAATGCCGGGCGCCCCGGGGGTCGCGCGGGAAATTCCGGGATATGTTCGGAAATTGGAGTCCTGGGCCCCAGAGCATCCCCCAGGACAGTGGATCGAGGCTTAGAGAAGTGGGCCCAGGACCCGAAGCGACGCCCAGTCCGCGCCCAGCGGCGCGGCGGCGGATCTAGGTACCGCAGGACGAACCTTTAAGCGCAAGCGTTGTTTGGGTAAGTCGCATCGCGCCTTCCCCGTGTAAGGCGTCCAGCGCCTTCTCTTCTTGATTTTGGTGTATATATATATATATATATATACATGTGCTCCCCGCAAAGCACGTGCCCATCCGGAACATGTGTTGGGTTCTGCTCGTGTTGAAGCTCATTGCGGTGCGTTGGTGTCAAAATGTTCTGGCGCGCGTTATCAGAGCCAGGAAACGAGATCTAGACGCTTCGCGTATCCCCACCAGCCCGGCTCTGCACCCCCAGCGACACTTCCACGGCCCAGGGGGGACACGCGGTGTGTGTCGGCGCCAGGGCTCAGGGGAAGCGCCATGCGACAGTCTGGGTTGGCTCCCCACCTCAGCTTCGCAGCAGCAGACCCCCCTGGCAGGCAGCGCGGACGACACCACCGCCACTCGTGCCGACCATCACCCAGACGGCGGTGCTCCCCACGCCAGCGGAGTTCTCGCTTCATGAGGCGGCACCGCGCTGTCGCGCCTTGGGCACAGTCGCTCGGCTCTCCCCTCGGCCCTCGGCACTGTGATGCACACCACTGAGGACTGGGCGCTGAGTGGTTCAGCCTACAACGCCTTTGCAGCCTTTGGTTTTCCCCGCTGTCGCGCACTGTTTCTGGTCCCAGCCGCTCAGCCGTTCGGCTTGCGCTGGTCGGCCGCGGAAGTCTGGCGCCGCACTAGCGACTCACTTCGTGGCTTCCTCACTATCGCGCACGGCGGCCCGCCCACTGTGGTTTGGGTTTTTGCGCCTCAGTGCGTTTGCCTTTCGAATTCGGTTCATTTTGTTCAGTGCGTGTGCAGGTGCGAGCTGTCTGCCCGCCGATTCTGGCTGGCGGCGCATCGTCTTGCAATTAGCCCCGTACCGTGCCCCGGGCGCCGCTTCCGCTCCCTGTCCGTTGCCTTGGAGCCGCTGACCAAAAAAAATACCCCCACCAGCCCGTCCAGAAATGAGTTCCAGGGGAGTGGAGGTGATGAGGGAACCGGGGGAGCATGCAAAAAAACAAAGGGCGGGGTGAGCCGCCATATGCCCCAAGAGGGGGAGGATGTAGGAGGAGCCGTCGTCGTCGGAGTAGGGGGAGGAAGGGGAGGAGCAGGAGGAGGAGCAGGAGCAGGAGGGGGAGGAGGAGGAGGGAGATGGGGGGGAGGAGGAGGAGATGGAGGACTGCGAGGACGAGGAGGACGAGAAGGAGGAAAAGGAAAAGGAGGAGGAGGAGGAGGAGGGGAAAGGGGAGGAGGGAGGAGGAAGAAAAAAAGGAAGATGAGGAGGCGGACAATGGCGAGCTTGGGGGCCTCTTGGGCCGTTTTTGGGGCCTCTTGGCGGTCTCGGGGGCCTCTTGCGTATATCGGGGAGCCTCTTGTGGCCTCTTGGGGGTCTCTTGGGGGCCTCTTGGGGCCTCTTGGGGCCCTCTTGGGGCGCTCTTGGGGCGCTCTTGGGAGCCTTCGGGGCGCTCTTGGGGCCATTTTGGAGGAGATCAATCACAGAAGGGGGGGTCGTATATTAGCGCTGCCCCTCTAGAGTGCCTCGAATCGCTTCTTGGGCCCTTCTTAAAGCCAAAATCCTTCCAAAACCTCAGGGGTGCTGTTTCGCCTTTTCGCTCTTGGAGCCGTCTTGGGCCATCTTGGGAGCCTCTTGGGGGTCTCTTGGGAGCTTCTTGAAGGCCTCTTGGGGGCCTCTTGGGGCCTCTTGGGGCCCCCTTGGGGCGCTCTTCGGGCGCTCTTGGGAGCCTTCGGGGCGCTCTTGGGGCCATCTTGGAGGAGATCTATCAAAGAAGGGGGGGTCGTGTATTAGCCTTGCCCCTCTAGGGTGTCTCGAATCGCCTCTTGGCCCCCCCCAAGAAGCAACATCCTTCCAAAACCTACGGAAAATCAATCCGTAGCCATTTTGGCTCAAGTTGGTTCGAGTATTTGAGCAGTGACAGGTCAAGCACATATTAGAGCCAGGTTGACCCCTCTTTGGAATCAATGGTTGAACTTTCCAATGTCGTAATGTGCGCCTTCCTGCAGCCAGAGAATACTTGGATGTTCCCGTGGTATTATGGACGTGTGTTGGGTCCATATGGGTTCTCTGGACTTATTGGTGCGGTGGTCGTATCGAGCCTTATCCGGAGATCGATTGCCTACGCGGTGCGACGATGGTTTAAGGAAGCGCTAGGGGCTATGGACCCTGACTACTGCAGTGTATGCATCCACGCCGTGTTTGTAACAGCTTGGTTGGGATGGCAGGGCCTTCAGTCTGCGATATTGGTGCACGGCGTGGACATACCACATCGCATACGGCATCCTTCTCCGGGCCAGCCATTGTTTGAGGAATTCGTTGCTCCTGGTGCCGACGTGATTTGTATGTTCGTGGCCTACCTCATTGACGATCTGTTCAGCAGGAAGATTACTGCTGACATAGCTCTTCACCACGTCCTGTTCATATACTATTGCTCGGTAGGCTCTGGTTTTGGATTGTTCAGTTTCATCGGATGTGTTTTTATGACGGGCGAGATCAGCACTCCAATTTTATCAGTCCGAGACATTCTCATCAAGTCGGGTCGCAATAACGAGTTTCTCGGCATCATCAATGTTTGTTTCGGAGCTACGTTCTTTATCTTCCGCGTATGCTTATGGACGTATGGGGTGTATTGGCACTTCTTGCCGGCCGTGTGGTCTCAGTGGGACTTATTGCCGCAACCGACATGGCTTGCCACCATTCAAGTCATTCTTACGTGTCTGGCGCCTGGGTTGCAATATTATTGGTTTGCTCTCATCGTCAGGAACGCTGTCAAAAGAAGGAGCAAAGGCCGGCCCGAAGCAAAGAAACATTGACGGACTAGGGTGTTTGCGCTGGTCGGAGAGTGGAAGCTAGTGTTGCCTTTGACCGCAATGTGGACTTGCGAGTTCAATGGTCTCGATGTATAAGGTGTTGCCATGGACGGCCAGGGAACGCTCCTTGAAGTATCTTTGTCGCGGCGAAAAAAAAACCTAAGGAAAATCAATGTTTTGTGCTTTTTTGTTGTTTCGCTCTTGGAGCCGTCTTGGGCCATATTGGACGTCCCAACGACTCGCGGAACCCCTCGTCCAGGTCGGTAGGGAGGGGTAAGGGGAGGGGTAAACCTCTCCTCGAAGGGAAAGAAGGGGGTTGGCAGAGGAAACGCTCTAGACCACCTACGCCCTAAAGGGCTGGCGGGATTTATCAGTCGATCAGTATTTGGCGTTTTTCAAGTTGCAGATTCGAGCGGTCTTTCGACCTAGCCATGGTTTTCCCCGCATCTTACAGATCTAGGGATTCCACCTGCGTGGCAGCTTCCAGCTTCGAGGCCCCCCACGGCCCTTCATCGAACCGCGCGGCAGACAAGTCAGGTCCGCTTTCCCCCTCGTCCTCCTTTCGCTGTCCCTGTGCGCCTGGTACTCCCAGGGTTCTCCCGCTGCTGTCCCCCTGCAGCTGATTCTGATTATCCCTCCTGGTCTGATCAGGAAACCTTGCCTCAGTCTCCAGCCTCCAAGTGCAGCGGCGTGCGTCTTGCGACCAGCCAGTCCGAGGCATGGGGAGGCGGGCAGGGGGGAAGATTTGCATGATGTGGTTGGTCCTCTTCCTCTAATCGTCGCCTTTCTCATGTTGCTCCTCGTCCTTCCGAGGCGAAGCTGGCGCCGATGCGAGCTCGTCCATCAGCATGGCCAGATTTAGCGGCACCTCCAGCCGGAGCCGGCTGCGTTCGTTTGGGAGCTTTGGCGAGCCAGTACCCGCCGCCGCCGGGGGGAGCGGCGTTGACTTTCTGGCTGGGAGCCCGCACGGTAGCCCAAGGACGGCATTGGGCAGAAGGGGTGTTTGGATGGTTGAAAGAGCGCGGGGCTAGGGTTGGATCGCGTTGGGGGTGGAGGGAGAATGGGGCTGTTCTGGGCGGGGCGTGGGTGGGAATTGATCGTGGTGGGGGATTGTCTCGCGCGCAGGGGGGGCGGTGGCGGGCACGGGCTGTCTGGCGCGGTGGCATGGGCGTCCTTGTTGAACAGTTCGGGGGAGGCACTCTCAACTTCAGGCGTCGTGAGAGAATCGCGATGGGCGTTTGTACCCCGTTACGAGCCCCAGGGGCTCTCACGCATCGATTTCGTTTGAACAATCACCTGCGTGAGTGTTCGTCGCGTCTGATGAGATTGAGGGGTTGCGAAGCGAGGGTGGTGGTGGGTGGTAGGGAGAGACAGCAGCAGGGGGGAGTGGGGGGAAGGGGAGAAAGAGGATAATTACTGAGGATGAATTATGATTAGGAGAAGCGGAAGGGAGATCTGCGGGGCGACCGTGCGTCCCTTCGTGTTGTCCCCATTCAAATGGTTGCTTTTGTACGGTCCTGCCGTTTGCACAGCCATGTCGTCTGTACTTCCCTTATGTTTCTCCGGGTGGTTTCGCATGCAATCATCTCTATGGTGATTATTTTTGTTCTCGTCTCCTTTCCCAGCTTTCGTTTTCATGTTGACCCGCGTTTATGGCACACCCTGAGGCGACCTGGGAGGCCAGGACGGTTCTTCAACGCCAGCACCGATGGCCGCAATGCCGCCCCTTCCTGGGCCCTGTCCATCGCCTCCTCTACTAGACTATGCATTTCCCTTTCCTGCCGCCATACTTGATGCTTGTTCGATTCTACGTCTTGTTCAGCTGCTATCCCCATGGGTAGATCGAATTCCAATCATGTACCATCCGTGGTCAGTCTTCACACGCTGTAAAACCAAGTCTCCATCTCCACTCACCACCTCGGATGCCTGCTTCCATTTCTCTGCAGATCTGCCTCGTGCTGCTCGTGCCCTCGCCTCTCCTTCCTCGTTATCCCTCCCCTGCGCGTGCGCGCCTCTGCCGTTGCCCGCCAGTTCTGGTGCTGGCGTGCCACCTGGGGTCAGGACCGCCGTCATCGTGCTCATCCCCCTGCTCCCGCGTCCCCCTCCTACTGCTCCCTCTCCCGCCCCCCCCCCCCCCCCTCCTGCAGCTCCAGCAGCCTCCGAGCACTCAGAACCTGCTGGTGATGAGCAGCCTGGAGACTCAGGCTGGCTGGGAACAAGGGGGCGATGGGGGAGATTGGGTCCGAGCCACTGCACGAATATTATTCTGCGCGTTTTGCAGAGAGAGAGAGAGAGAGAGAGAGAGAGAGAGAGAGAGAGAGAGAGAAAGAGATGCCCCTCACCGTGTGGAGCGTTGGATATGCGTACTTCATGGCAGATCGTATGAGTCCTCACGCGAGGCGCGAGCGTTGGGACGTGCACTCTGCCTTCTCCCTCTCCCTGCAATCCCCCCTCCATAGCTCTCCTCTGGCTCAGATCGGCAGAGTGCGCCTCGCCGCCGCTGCGTGCCGCATTCCCGCTTCTTTCTCGGAAGGCGCCGCCGTGGACTGAGGCCGGGCCTGAAGTCTGCGACCCTTCTGGGGCACCTCCGCCCTCCAGAGGCGGGAGCAACAGCGGCGTCGGGCACGAGGGGCCGCGGCGCGGCGACCGTGACGACCGAGTTTGCCGACCCGAATGACCCGATCGAGGTGGACGTCGTCTACGTCAGCATCAGGTTCGACGATCCCGGGGCCGAGCATGGGCGTTACACCTAACGCGTGCTGGGGCTTCACACCGAGGGCGCCGCGGGCCAGTACATCCGTGTCCGTGAGGCGGTCTTCCTCTGCGAGGACCCGTCCGTGCAGAGCCGCGGGCAGGTCTGGGTGTTTGTCCTTCATGTACGGGTGCACGGACGAGCGGCCCGCTGGCGACGTCGAGGCGTTCCCTGCCATCGGCCAGAAACTGCTGCCCGAGGATGGCCTGAAGTTGTACCTCGAGTGGTTCCTTGGTAATCCAGACGATGGCCTACCCGCGTGCCTGGGGCCAAACCGTCCAACATCATGGAGCAGGCTTTCGACGCGTTCGGATTGCCGACTGGTTCGTATCGTGGGTCACCAGGGCGCACTGCTGGAACAGTTCTGGCTGGCGTGTCGAACGGTGTTTGAGGGCGCTAGCAGCCGCATTGGGCTGACAGGAGAGGCCCGCAGAATTCCCCCATTACCGCAGGGCTGCGGGGGTGGACGAGACTGGCCTGGAGTGCCACCAGCCATGCGATGGGCTCAGAGCCCCGCGCGTCCTCTGCTCCGCCGAACACCTGGGTACATGAGCTGCAGATCGCGCCGATGGTGCTGCACTACACCTTCCCGCCGCAGCACACTGTCTGGTCGATGGGGACGGGCATGCGCCACCAATTGCGGATGTTTGCTGAGGTCGTTGGCCTCCTGCTGTGCGCGCGCATCGCCCAACCGCTCGAGTAACCATCTTTTGCGCTGGGTCAAGGCGTGGTAGATCTTTTGTGCGGGCCGCTCACTGAAGGGGGCGAAGTGGCTCAAGTTTTATCCCTCCCGCGCATTTTTCGCATGTCGCATTTCGCAAACATAGCAGCCTCCTCGGCGCGCGCGCCGACCTCCGGCGCCCGCTCCGCGGACGCTGCGGCTCAGAGCTGCCTGGCGTGAGCAGATCGGAGTCGTGCAGCCAACGGGGGACGGGGTGGTGTCAATTACCCCTTCACCCCCTTCTGATGCCAGGGCAAGCAGGGACAGGCCGCCCGCAACCAGCCGCTTTTCCCGCGGAGTCGGGAGGCGCCGTTCGCTGGAGTTACGGGCCGCCACACTACCTCCGCGGGCCTGCCGACGCCCGTCCCCCCACCACCAGGGAGCCCCGCCCCCCCCCAGCCGTAAGGCCAGGTGAAGGTCCCAGGCGACCCTGGGGACGACGAGTGGACCCCGGCTGACGCCTGGGAGGACACCCTAGCGGACCAGGCGCTGCCTCACAGGGCAGGGGACCGTGAAACAAGCGACCCTACTGCGGGAACCCCCGCGGTGAAACTTGGCACAAGGAGCGGGGGAGAGGGGTGCGCGAGAGGGGGAGAGGGCCCAACGAGCAGCCCCAAACCCAAGAAGCATAGGAACGAACACAAATTCCCCAGCCCGATTGCGAAACGGAGGGGCACCATGCAGCACGGGAACGCGAGCGCAAGCACGAGAACGCGAGCGCGGGAGGGAGCCAAAGAAAAAAGAAAACACATTCGAAGTAACAAGCGGAGTGATCCCCCCTCAACGGCCAGGCCAATGCGGCGCGCATCACGTCTGCGAAGCACGGGGAGCGTCAGACCTGGCGGGCCTGTCGGGCCGCCCGCGCGGCAACGGGATACCCCGCCACCTTTCCCGAGGCGGAAGAAGAGGAGGAGGAGGAGGAGGAGGAGGAGGAGGAGAAAGACGAGGAAAAGGAAGACGGGGCACACCTACGAATGTCTCTACCTTCAAAAACCACGTGCTGGATCCGCGTGCGGGAGCACCTGGTATCTCCGAGCAGAAGCTGGAGCAACAAATCTGGCAACGGATCCCCTGGACAAGGCTCCTGGCGTTCCCGGTCGAACATGGGGCAAGCACTTAGCGCGTGACGCACTGAAGCCCCGCGGCGCCCGCAGGCTCTGCAACAGCGCAGAGGCAAGTGGTGCTCATTACCCCCAAAGACCGACAGGGGCCACTTGCCCGTCATTCGGGCCACAGCCCAGAGGCGGCAGCGGGACCAGAAGGACGGCCTTGGCTCCCCAGCTGACATGTTTGAACCCAGTGGCGATGGGAAGGTGCACGAAACAGCAAAAGTGCGGTTAAAGGGCGCCAGATTTTACAAGTTAAATGGCAGCCTTCGCGAATGCTGCGCGATCAGACCGCAAGAGGGTCGGTCGCAGCACCTCGCGCTGGCATGAGTTGAGAGTTACTTTCCTAGCGGCAGAAGACGCCCGCGCCTCTTGCAGCAGGGCGGCAGGGAACAATATATGCCCCCTCGAGGTCCAGCGGGGGGGGTCCAGCCGCTGGACCAGAGCGACCACTGCCGAGTCCCGCGTGGGGGTGGGCAAGGATCGAGCAGCCTGCAGCATGAGGGCTCTTGGGTGGTTCCCCGGCAGGACCATGGGCCTTGCTCTTCCCATCAGCGCCTTCTCCAACAATTTCGCCCCCAGGCGCGTGGGCCAGCCGCGTTGGGCGACGGCCGCGGCGCGGCGAATTGGCGGCCCCTTGTGGCACCCCAATAAGCGACGGCCGCTAGTCACCCGCAACTCCCCCGCGGCTGATTCCGCGCCTGGCGCGGCGGCCAGGAGCGGGGCGGCGCGCGAAATCGCAGATTCAACGCGAGCTGGGACCTGCGCCGCGGCCGCTGGGATGGACAAGCACCCAGGTCTCTGCCGCGCGAAGCAGTTTTGAGACACGGCTACGACCGACGGCGACGATCTCCTGGAAGAGGGGTTCAAACGACAAGTCGGAACCCATTTAAATCCCCGCGGGGACCTTGCGGCCCGCCGCCGGGCAGTCGGCGAGACCAGGGGGGGCCGCGCCTTGGAGTGGAAAATCGCGCGTCTGGGATCTCTCCCGGGGGAAGAACGACTTAAACTTACGCGCGCACCGACTGCGCGCGGATTCCCCCTCAGGAGACAGGGCCGCGCGCGCCGCCCCTTCAGATGGGCAGCCTACCGCGAGGTCGTCGATGCACTGCGCAGGCGGCGCGCGCAATTCACCCGCGAGCTCCGCCACCGCGGCTCTGTCTGCGAGGGCGGGGGGGGCGCTGAGGCAGGTGGCTAGCGCGGCTTCGGCGCGCGGCCGCGGCGGGGATTCGGCCGCCGCCCCCCGGGGCCCATCGCGGAACGTTGCAGCCGCAGGAAGGGCCCGGTCAGGCATTGCAATTTCGATAGCTGGGTGGCGAGCCTCGCCCGCAGCAGCCAGGGCGCGTCTAGCCAGGCGCGGGGCCGCTGTAGCGCAAACCCCGGGGCCTGCGGCATCTATCGCATCGGGCAGCGTTGTCGAGTGCGCGTTGCAAATCTGAACCAACAAAACGCCCGCCCTAGGCGGCGCCGCGCCCGAGGGCGACAACGGGCGACAACAAGTTGCGCGGGCCGACCGCCTGACGTTCTCGCGCCGACACGTCGCCCAAAATCGGCCATTCCGACCCGCGCGCGCCGGCTTCAAAGACGCCGCAACCCTGAGGTTGGATCTGTCATTTTTTTGTCCTTGGCTGTTTTATGTTTATTTAAATAGACCTTCGCCACCGTGTCTTTCTTAAAATGGCCGGTGTCCTTTTTTACGTTTTGTCGCTGCCTTGTTTAACCAGCGCGCGAGAACCAAGCGCGCGCGAGCTCTCGAAACCACAAAAAAAAAGGAGGAGAGAGGAGAGGAGCCAGGGGGAGGTAGAGGAGGAGGAGGAGGAGGAGCAGAAACGAGAGGAGGAACAGAGGCGAGGCAGGGGGCGGCGCGGGCTCACTCTCTCGCCGTGCGTTCGTTGCAGCTGGAGCGCGGCGTCGCATGGTTCGCAACTTGGGCGATCCCATCGCGCGGAAAAGGTTTGCCCGCGAGGCCTGGCAGGTCAACGATGCGCTCGGGTTCGGACTACTTCCCATGGGCGCCGCGCGCCGTCGCCGTCGCCGAGGGGGTCTATTCATTGCACATTCATGGCGGGGCTTGTTCGAGCGTCTGGCAGCGGCGCTCCTGGTCCTCGAAGAGGTGCTCTTTCTGGCAGGCCAGAACCACCTGTCCAAGGCTGCGATGACACACCGGCGCCAGGAGGGGCTGGGAAACCTTCGCCAGCGTCTGGCGCCCCCAGTAGTGGATCCCCTGGCCCCTGGGATTGAGCGCGGACCGCGGGCGGCCAGGTCGACAGAAGCCAGAGTGCTCGAGGCGACGCCGTACCTGCGCAGCCCTCCAGGCTCGAGGTGGCCCCCCAGTCCGCCCTGGAAGCCCGGCCTGTCGCGACGATCGCTCCCAGTGCCGCTGCTCGCCCTGGCAGGTATCCACGTGGGCCGTCGCGCCGCTCCGCGCGTGGTCCTCCTCCTTCCTTTCCCCTCCTCCTTGCGACGTACCTCCTTGGGGAGAGGCGCGTCGCGCGCGCTGCCCCCGGCGCCACTTCGGTGCCTCCATGCCCACCCGGCTTCTGCGCCTCCTGGCACCCCGCCACCCCCCCTCGCGACGCACCTCCCGCGTGGGACGTGCGTCGCCAACTCCCTGCCCCCTGCGCCATTTCGGTGCTCCCCGCCCCCGCTCCTCGCGTCGTGCCTCCTAGGTGGGAGGCGCGTCGCCCAGTCGCCGTCCCCTGCGCCACTTCGGTGCTCCTCCGGCGCACCACGGTGGCCCGCGTGTGTGCCGCCCTGCTCTACTACCTGGTTTCCGCACCCGTCTGTACGCCCCCTTTCCGGCGGCTCCGCGCCGTTTGTTCTTGTTGCAGCCTTGCTTCGCCCCGCTCCTGCGGGCCACCAGGGCGCTATGCCCGCCGCCACCTGCTCCTCCCTCTCTGTCCAGTTGCTACCTGGCTGCCCTGGGCGGCCACTGCCCCCCCCGCTGGGCGATCCCGTCGCGTCGCCGTTTCCGGGTGCCCTTCGTCTCTTCCACGTTGCTGCTCCGCCCCGCAGCCTGCGAGCGCCTGGGACGCTCTGCTGCCTCCCGCCCTACCCCGCCCTCCGGCCACCTGGCCGCCGGCGGTCACGCTGCAGTGTCCCTTTCACTGCCTAATTCTCGCTGCTCCCGCCCCCGTACGGCTCAATGCTGTGCGTTCTCCTCGGGGCGCCGCGGTACGACGCTCGCGGTACGACGCTCGCGGTGTCTCTTGCGCTCCCCCACCGCGCTCTGGCTCTGCGCGCCTGGCTGCTGCGCCCGCTGGCTGCTCATCGTCGAATCTTCGGCGTTTGAGTCTATCCTTCCAGCCGGCCTCCCCCTCCCTCTTTGCACGCCGGGCAAGGCCGTTACGCTGGTGCCTCTTTCGCCGCGTCGCCGCCGACGAAAAAATCGAGCGAGCAGTACGCTGACTCCTTTCCCCCGCGACTGAGTGGCGAGGCGAAGCAGCAGGGCCATCAACTGGGCCTTGCCTCCGCTCGGTCGCCCGTTGGCGTAGCGCGACTCGCTGGCACGATGCTGGCGGGTGCGATATCGCGATGCTGGCTCGCTGGCGGCAAGGGGGCTGCGGGTTCGCGTTTTTGTCAGCGTGCATGTGCGAGCGGAGCGCTTCCGCGAACCGCGGGTCATGGCTGAGTCTCAGGTGTCATGCCGTCGAGGAGTCCTGCTGTACCCAGCAGGTCGTTTAAGCCACTGATGGCAGCCAAGATTGCACCCGAGCCGCCCGACGAGAAAGTGGGCGTGGGAAGATTTGGGCCGCGCCTGCGGACATGCACGTGCTTGCAAGGTACGTTGCATGGTCCTGTAACGGGTTGGAGACTTTCAAGTCGAGTTCTGTCCTGCATGGGTGGGCAGTGTCAAGATCAGCGGTGGGCATAGCCTTGTGCACGTTTGTGTCGGCCGGCGCCTGCCCTGGATTCCTGGTATGTTGGATCTGCTTATCCAGCTGCTACTGTGCCTTCGCTTGCCCCTGCGTCTGGAGGCCCGTAGCCTTCTCGACGGGGACGCGCCTGCGAGGCTCCTCTTTCCGCCTTGTACCATTGTTTGCCTTGGGAGTGTGGTTGGCCCTGGCCCTGCCCCACCTTATACCCGCACGTCTCCATCGCCCCCTCCCTCCCTGCTCGTGAACTCCCTCCCCCTGCTCCCTTCCCCTCCGTACGCACCCTTCTTTTGAGGGTGTGACGCGTGCCATTGCCAGCTTTCTGGAAACAGTGTTGAAGCAACGATTCCGGAGAGGCCGACCCGAAGACCATTCAAAGCAGCGTCTTTGAGACAGTAATTCTGAAGTGGGACTCCGCCTCCTCCTCCCTCCCTGATGTTCATCATCCTTCCCGTTGCCCTCGCCTTTGCTCTCCCCCTCTTCCTTCGCCTCCGAGCAGGCGGCGTGAGTCCTGCGAGGAGGACTCGGCCACGAGGGGGTCGAGCCCAACACCGTCGACGGGGCGCTTTCGCCGTGTAGTTTCACCCTGGTGGCCGACTGCCAGGAAGGCCGAGCCCTCAGCTTGGCATCCCCCGTTCACCAGGTGTGTTTCTATCCCCGTTCCCCGTTCCGCTTAGCCTGGACTTCGGGGCCCACTTGTAGGGCCCGTTGTGCGCTTGAAGGCATCTGGGTGCTCCTTTCGGGGTTCTGGCAGGGACCCGCGGATCCTTCGCGATAATTTTTGGGGGCTGAATTCAAGCCGCCTTCCGAGGCGTTAGGGAAGATGGTTCTTCGGTTGCAGGCTTGCCTTCGAAAGCTGGTGAGGCGTGTTTGGTCACGTTGGGGGTGCAGCCTGCTTGTGTGCCTGGGTCATGTAGAGCATTATGGTCCTTGGCCCCCCCCTCGAGCCGCTAGCCTAGCGCCACTCCCTTCTCCACGCGGTGCGTCCTGGCACTGCCGCAGCGCACGCGTGTACCATAGTCTCGTAGCCCCGTGCGGTCGCGTCGACTACGTCGTGGTGTTCGTCGTCTTGCTCCCCGTCCTCCCCCTTGCGTCTTCGTCACTTCTTCGTCCTCCTGCTCCTCTTCGCCCTTCCCGTCCTCTTTCTTCTTATCCTTGTCCTCGTCGTGCTCATCTCTCGTATGCAACTGTAGCACCTGAAGGGTCTAACATTATGTTGCGAACGCGTGGTGTTCGCAGTTCTGGAACGGTCCGGCTTCCCGCGCCAGAGGTCGCCGCAGGCGCACGCGGGTGCTCAAAGGCGCGTCGTGGTGTTCGCAAGCGACTGAGGTGCTGACCAACCATGTTCTTCGCTGACGAAATAACTATGATCTTCGCAATCATGTTGTGGCGCTCGCGTCCTGCTGTGGGAATTGTGCGCAGTGTATTATGTTAACGCGCATGTTATGTGGTACCGTTGTGGCGCCTGCAGGATGTGGCGGTCAAGTGCTCGCAGAATGCTCCGCTCGTGTGATCGGAGGTGTGTGTGTGTGGAGCGAGTGAAGTTAAAAGGAGCTCCCCAGCCGGGAAACAAGTCTCGATTTCTGTTCGTGTCGTGCGTGACGCGCGTGCGGGCGATGCAAAACAGCGCGAGTTCTTTTCCTACCTGGGCCCATGTCGCACTGTGTCGTTGTCCGGCTTTCTGGGACGTGCGCGAGGTTGTCCCGCGGTTGTCTTGTAGTTGTCATGCGGTTGTCTTGTCCCGTGCTTATCCGTGGTTGTCCCGTGATTATCCCGTGCTTGTCCCGCGGTTGTTCCGAGGTTTTCCCGTGGTTGTCTTGTGGTCCCGTGGTTGTCCCGCGGTTGTCCCGTGGTGGTCCCATGGTTGTTCCATGTTTGCCCGTCGGTGTCCCATGGTCGTCCCGATGTAGTCTCTCCGATGTCTCGTGCTTCTCCTGCGGTTGTCCCGTGGTTATCCCGTCTGCTCAGCTGTCTCTGGCAATTCCGCCACCGCGCTAGCGCAGCTTTCTGGGTGGTCATTCTACGAGGGGGCACGGGCCGCCACAAGCGACACCTCGGGTTTCCCGAAGGCACTTGAGGCCTGCTTGTTGCTGCGTGTTCAATAAGGGGAGGGCGTCAGCTTTGTATGTTTGGTGGCCGTCCGTTGGGAATTCGAAAGCATCGGCGAGCTGGATTCTGCAGCTATTGTCTCGAGCCGGCACTGTGTTGGCTCGAGCAGGTCTCGGTGGCGCTTGCATCGGCGAGGCCTGAATGGATACACGGGCGCGTCAATAGAAATGGCAATAACGCGCATCTTTTCTCAGCGCTGATCCCTGGAGGATCCTGCTGTACCCTCCAGGAACGCAGCGCAAATATCACGGACTCTGATCACTGCGAACGCGCCCGAAGCAACATCGAAGAATCTGGAACAAGAAGGTGATCGAAAATGTCGGCGATGATGGGTAGGTCGACGCCGGTTCCCCATCTGCGCACCAACAGCTTCGCGGCGACGCCATGCGGGGTTCCGGGACTTAGTTTACGCAACGGCGCCGGATTTTGACATCCATTGTTTTTTACAATGGGATTGTGCTGTGATTCCGTGTTCCCGTGATCCCAGGCCTTGGCGCCATAGTCTTTTTAGTTGGGATTTTGAGAGGGGGGTGGGGGTGGAGCTGGTTGCCCTGGGAACTCTGGCATCATTTGATTTTCCACACACGCGCCGGCGCAGTGCCCTGATCGCGCCTCGCAGTCCACGTCCAAATTTAAAGCTCAATCGGAAAACGGCTGTCCAGCCGCTTTCCTATTTCAGCTTTGCATGTACACGCCCACGCGGAGCCGTATAATTTTAGGGGACCGCCGCACGGCCAAAACGCAACATGCCCATGACAGAACGAACAAACAAATCGGACAAATAATTCTCTCCCATGTCGTTTGGGGCCTCATGGGGGTGGGCGCCTCGGAGGCTGATGGGTGTTGCTTGGGCCGTGTGAGGGCGCTTTTGGGCCGTTTTGGATTTTTCGCAGTCCGTTTTGGGAGGCTCTTTGGGTCGTTTCGGGGCCCTCTTGGAGACCTTAAATGCTGTCTGAGGGCATCCTTGGGCCGACTTGGGGTCCTCTTGGACCGCTCTTGGGCCATCTTGGGATCCTCTTAGACTGTCTCGGATGCCCTCGTGGGCCGTCTTGAGGCCATCTCGGCGTTTTTTTTGTGAGTTGACGGAAACTCGAGTCAGTTGAATTGCGAAAATGCATTATTGAGCCTTTTCGGGCCTTGCTGCAGGTTCTTTTGAAGCCCTTTAGGGCCGTCTTGGGAGCATGTTGGGCCGTCTTGACACCGTCTTGGGCCCATTTGGGGCTATAATCGGCAGTCTTGGAGGCATCTTAGGCCATCTTGAAAACTTCGTGGCCTGCTTGGGCCGCATTGGAAGCAATCATGGGCATCCTGGATGCTTTTGAGGGCGCTGGGGAGGCGTCGGGCCGCCCAGGTAACTTCGGGGAGGTACGGTGCATGGGAGGTTGTGCGAGTAGAGGTGGAAGGTCCTCCAAATATTACGCGTGCCCTGCCAGACAGCACTTTGTATTCTACGAGGCCTAAACGTGACAGGGAGCACGGTGGCGGATACATAAATACATCGACAGACCAGCACATCGGCACATTTCTACACACACGTATCTATTATATATATAATATATATATATATATATATATATATATATAATATATATATATATATATATATGTATACTCATATAAATATAAGTGTACATGCGTATGTAAGTATATGCATACGTATGTATGTACGTAGGTAGGTAAGTAGTATGCATGGATGTATATATGTTTACATGCATACGTACACACAAACATACATACTTACACACATACATACCTGCGCATACACAGGCACATACACATGCACATGCTTCAACATCTACATTTGCACATACAAATACACTGAAAAACACATATACATCGACAGACGATGTACATATGTACATATACACAAACATACACGTACACTTACATGTATACATAATGTATGTTTACGTATATTGTTAGACATGTACATGCATTTATATACACATTGCATAGGCGTAGGCGTATGCACAAACACTTACGCATACGAATACTTATGCATATACATCAAAAGTGTCTTATGCATACACATGTTCACCAACATATACATATACAAGCATTCAGATTTTATACATATACACATACATATACCTATGCACAGACACATACACATACCATGCATAATTCTGAAGGAGGAAAGGCAAAGGCGAGAGGTATCGAGCGTTTGTTCGCGGCCGCTTGGGCTCAAACGACCGGCCGCCAATTTGACTGTGCTGCTCTGCGGCGCGCTATCTGACATCGATACGGAAAACAATACATTGAGATGTCCCCCTGCCGCTCACGCGGCCATCTCCTACCTCTTGCTCTATCGCTGCTACGATACATCATGGTTGGACGGATACTACGCCTGGAGCGTCGTATTTGGTTAGGCCTACCACCGCCTTTTAAATTTGGTAGCGGAGCTGGCCGTTGGTGGCCAGCTCTAGCTCTTTTCCTTGCTATCCACGGCGCTACCTGGTGGACTTTTGATATGGTGGACCATCAGGGCGCAGTGGCTCTACGCGGGGTAGACCATGGCCATCGCGCCATCGCAAGGACACTTGCACTGAAGCCTTTGCTCACGCAGAGGTCTCCTACCTGAGCCCTACATGTCTGCGCTACTACACTCCTGAAGTCCACCCACCAACGCCAATTTGCAAACGCTTCGAAAATACGATGCATAGCAACATGCGTTATGACATCGTGCCGCCTGCACGTCCTCGCAAACTGACGGCAACGTCACCTCACAAACGACAGCCACCTACAACTGACACTGACCTACGAGGCCACTGGATTGACATCATTATTTTTGGACTCCTCTGGGTCGCCATCGGATTTGCTCTTGGACACATCAACGCGGTGCAGACGACGCGCGCACTACCGGCCTCCATTGGGACCCTGCCAGTAACGTACCTTTCCGCGAATACATTCGCGAAGTACATTCTTGGATCAACGTGACCACGGGCACCATGACTCCCTCCCAACTGGCCGATCCTGTACAGCGCGGTCTTGGAGGTCTAGCAAGGACCCTCGCCATGAGAGCCCCCCAGCAGTGATCAGTTTTGGAGTGAACATTGGCGGGTGCCGCACCGACGTAAAATGTTTCTACTCAGCACTAAGTACGAGAATCTCCAGGATGAAAGACAACGGGGACGGCTCTCATTGACTGTCGCGTCCCTGCGGGAGTACGAATCGAGCAAAGGCTGGCGCGTTTCGACATCGCACGCTATGAAGCTGGCGCCGCGGGGTTCAGGATCCCAAATTTCCAAATTCCGACAGTTATAGTTTTCAGGGCCCTAGGTGTCGGCGCTCCGCGTGCACAACAGCTACTACCACCACTGAACCACAGAATGCCGAGGACTCAGCAACAGTTTGATTCCCCACTGGAGCGCATGGGGGCTTGCGCCTGCATTGCTGAGCGAACCCTGGTAGCGTTGGCGGTGTGTTTAATCGCAGCCATCGCACCGATGTCTGTCGCAGTGACACACGTGCGGGGCGGCCTGCCAGCGCCGTCTGGGGGGATGATCCACAACCAAGCGAGGCCGCCACTCCATTGAACCAACGGGGTGACCAGCCCTCGGGGTCGCAAGACTCCTGGGTTCAATGCCAGGGGCCGTTGGCAACGGCGGCCCCTGGCCAAGCCGCTACCTTGGTGGGCTCGGCGGGGCAGCCCGCAGAGCCCGACTTTGACTCGGGCGCCGACGCCGACACC